TTGTCTGCGTGCGTGCGTGCATGAGTGCGTGTAGGTTTGTCGGCGTACGTGCGTACATGAGTGCGTGTATGATTGTCGGCGTGCGTGCGTGCATGAGTGCGTGTATGTTTGTCTGCGTGCGTGCGTGCATGAGTGCGTGTATGTTTGTCTGCGTACGTGCGTGCATGAGTGCGTGTATGTTTGTCTGCGTGCGTGCGTGCATGAGTGCGTGTATGTTTGTCGGCGTGCGTGCGTGNATCTACTTTAAGCATGTATATATTTTATTGAAAACGCTTCAAGTCCTGTGTGATTACCCGGCTAGTATATTATATATATCGTTATGGCAACAGTATTGTCCGGCCATTCATGCATGGGAGATTTGATATGGCTTTTATAAAGGTATAACCTTTCTGTGCCTTTCAATTCAGGTAACAGTATACCCTTGCTATGTGAGCCATGCCATTAATTGTCCCCGTCAGTCACTGCTTGCAACGTGGTTGCGTTATAGCCACGGTTGTTTTTTTAGAGGAGCAATTTTCACGGTGTGGAATGGCGTGAAAGAATGTGGCGTGTTCACAGAACAAGACTGTGGAGGTATGTGCGCGCTTGTCAGGTGTGTCTACGAGTGTCCGCATGTGTGTGGTGCCTGTGTGTGCTGTGTGTGTGTAGTTGTGGCGCGCGCGTTGTCGTGTGGCCGCTGTGAGTCGTGCGCGCTGTGTGTGTTTTGTCTGCGCGCGCGCGACTTGTGTGTCTGTGTGTGTGCGTGCGAACGCTACACTGTCTGCGTGTGCGTGTGCGTCGTGCGACGCTGCGTGTGCTGTGCGTGTGCGTGCGCGGTGCGCGGACGGGCAACGACGGGCGAATCCGGGCGGGCCGTCCCATGTGGTGTGCGTGCCCCGTGTGGCCGGTGTGCAGTGTGCGTGTGCGTGCGTGTGTGTGGTGGCGTGCATGCGCGGCGCGCGCGGTGCTGTGTGTGGCGTGTGTGGTGGGCGGTGTGTGTGCGGTGTGCGCGCGTGTGTGTTTTGTCTGCTGTGCATGCGTGCGTGTATGATTGTCTGCGTGCTGTGGTGCGTGCATGGAGTGCCTGTGTATGTTTGCTTGTTTCTCTGCGTGCGTGGCGTGCATGAGGGCGTGTTATGTTTGTATGCGTGCGTGCGTGCATGAGTGCGTGTATGTTTGTCGGGCGTGGGTGCTGTGCAATGATGCGTGTAATTTGATTGTCTGCAGTGCGTGCGCTGCATGAGTGCGTGGTATGATTATCGGCGTGCGTGTTACAGTGAGTGCGTTATGTTTGTCTGCGTGGCGCGCGTGCGCTAGCATGAGGCGTGTATGAGATGTCTGTGTGCGTGCGAAAGTGCATGAGTGCGTGTATGTCTTGTCTGCGTGCGTGCGTGCATTGACGTGCGTGTATGACTTGTCTGCGGCGCACTCTACCTCGCTAGGATCGTACGTGCGTGATTGATTTGTTGTATGTTTGTCTGCGTGCGGTGCGGTGCATGAATGGCGTGTATGTTTGTCGCGTGCGTGCGTTGCATGAGTGCGTGTTGTGTTCTGTGTGCGTGCGTGCATGATTTGCGTGTATGATTGTCTGCGTGCGTGCGTGCATGATGTGCGTGTGATGAATTGTCTGCGTGCGGCTGCGTGCATGAGTGCGTAGGTTATGATTTTGTCTGCGTGCGTGCGTGCTGCAGTGCGTGTATGTTTGCTGCGGTGCGTGCGTGCTGAGTGCGTGTATGATTGGTCTGACTGTGCGTGGCGTGCATTGAGTGCGTGTATGATTGTGCTGCGTATGTTTACTGACGCATTGTATCCGATCCACATAGAAGGCATTCTCCGTCCGTATGGATTCAGTGGCTTATATTCATCCCGCCGTATTCAATTTGGACGTATATTTTTCACGAGTGATATAAATGGAAGCTCACCATTACTTATTCGTATCATTTTTCTGGTTACACGAACACCCCCCATTCATACTAGTTCCACTTAATTAGCGCTACTCAAAATATCCGACTTTACGGTGTAATGGATATTTGCTGTTATGATAGGCGCCAGCGTTACGTCGTGCGTGGTTCATTGATTTGCCTGGATCGTAGCCTGCCTACGCAGTACATTACGTGGTTACGTATGTGTTGCGCCCGCGCGTGTGTGTGTGTGTTCGTATTTCGTGCGTGCGTACGTGCGCGCGCGTGCGTATGTGTTGCGTGTGTGTCGTGTTCGTGTGCGTGCGTGCGTTACTGTGCCGCCGCGCGCCACTTTGTGTGTGTGTGTTGCGGACTTGTGCGCGGTGTCCGCTTCATGTGTGTGTGCGTGTGTGTGCGACTGCATGTGTGGTGTGTGCGCGCGTGTATGTATGTATGCTGTACCGTGTACGTGTGTGTGCGTGTACGTGTGTGTGTGCGTGTCACGGCGTATGCGTCACTGTGCCCTCCGCTCTTGCTGCCGCCTCTCTGTCTGTGCAACTCGCTGAGTCACCACCACTGCAGGCTGCTTGCCGTGCTGTGGACGGAGGGTGGGTCAGTGCAGGTCAGTGTCATAGCTGTGAACACTAGTACTACAGACATCTATAGACGACGATAGATAGCTATTGACAAGCCTTAGAAAGTCTAAAAGTCTAATCACCCAGCCTAATCCACTAAGTCCTGATTTCAAAAATTTCAAAATTTCCTCTAAACTTACATTTTAAAACCATATAACTTATAGTAAAATACATAGAGATTTGTCACTCCCGCTCACAAGTTACCGGTCCTAGACTAGTGGGGGGGGGGGGGGGGGTCAATGCTATTTCAAATACCGTATGATCACTAGTGTTTTACAGAGACGTCTATGAATTAATGCGCTTCATGGTCAACCATTGCTCTGTTGAGCGGGCACTAGGTCTTAGCCGTGCGTGGAACAGATGAGTTAGTGATGAACGTTGAAAAACGCTGATCCCAACGACATTCGTTAACGCTAAGCTAGTTAGAGCGTGTAGATGGCTTCAGCGTCCGTTTTAGTAAGCTCTATGCACGCTGTGAGAGGGGGGCGTTGTAGCGACTGTTCGAGATAGTCTAGATGCGGGACTCGAAGAGTATCAGGAATAGTCGTTTGACCGTAACTGATTGTTCGATGAGGAGCTAAGGACATCCACAACACGCACGCACGCACGCACGCACGCACGCACACCTACATGTACCTACGCACATATACGTATACACGCACACACGCATGCACACACGCCCGCACGCACGCACGCACGCACGCACGCACACGTATGCAAACGCACTCACGCACGCACGTACGCACGCACAAGCAGAAGCATTCACACACGCGTAAATCATACACGCAGGCACGCAGACGCGTAAAAACATCATAATTAATGTAACCTATCGGCGAAGAGGATTATGCAAATTACGTCATACGTTGATCGTTATTTAATAGGAATAAATTTCATCCAAACATCCGAGAAAATTATCGACGTTTTTTCGCATTCCCAACAGAACACGTAACAGTCCCTTTATAAACGAGTTATTCAGGAGGGCATACTAAATATATCAAATAAGCGCACAAATTAACACTATCACTTGTGTTTATCACGCGTTACTCAAATTATATTCAATAGACATTTTTATGTAGAGGGACCGTAACGCCGGCGCGCCCTCTGACGGCAGCATCACTACATTACGGTTGTTGGCGATGTTGTCGGCGATGTTGTCGGCGATGTTGTCGGCGATGTTGTCGGCGATGTTGTCGGCGATGTTGTTGGCGATGTTGGTGGCGATGTTGTTGGCGATGTTGTTGGCAATGTTGGTGGCGATGTTGGTGGCGATGTTGGAGGCGATGTTGGAGGCGATGTTGTTGGTGATGTTGTCGGCGATGTTGTTGGCGATGTTGTTGGCGATGTTGTTGGCGATGTTGTTGGCGATGTTGGTGGCGATGTTGTTGGCGATGTTGGTGGCGATGTTGTTGGCGATGTTGGTGGCGATGTTGTCGGCGATGTTGTTCCTTTTCCAGCGACGAAATAGTGCAACCTATACCTACTATTACCAATACTATATTATATACTATTCCTAATACTGCTATTACCGCCATGACAGGCTGCGACGTAATACTGCGTTACCTGCCATGACAGGTGTGTAGTGAGCATGAGCCCTGTACGTAGCTAGCCACCGATAGGTGGCGTGACGATGACCGACAGACGGCACCACCGTGCACAATGCTGACTCTGACGTTGACGTTTGTGATTCGGTGCTGTTGTTACGTCCACTCACTGTAGTCGTAACTTCAGCCTAACACAGAACTGACCGAGTGTAGAATGGAGAGAGAATCTACTACTTCCGCGCGCATACACGCATGCACGCACGTACGCACGCGTGAACGCACACATGCATGCACACGCCCATACGCGCACACACGCATACATATGCATGCACACGAGCATGCACGGATTCGCACTCAAACGTGCATTGTATGTGGCGAGATTGTCTCGAATGTCTAATTAATAAATGTATAAATCTAGCAGAAATGCTCACACGCATACTGCGATAATGTGGCATCCGTGGTTTATGTCTTCATAATCATGTCATTGCTGGTGAAATTGCTCATACTTACCCCGTAACCAGAGACGCGCGCAGAATTAATGGTGTCGGATAGCAGGGGCTGAGTTATGTTAGCTCAATGCAAACGGATGTGTGCAGATTACAGTTACATCTATAACTTACGCTAGAGTCTATAACCCTACCCGTAACCCCTACCGTAACTGTAACCCTACCCGTAACCCCTACCGTAACTGTAACCCTAGTCGTACCTCTAACCCTAACACTAACACTAACCCTAACCCTACCCGTAACCCCTACCGTAACTGTAACCCTACCCGTAACCCCTACCGTAAC